TATGTTATTCCAAGAAGGTTGCACAAGATAAAAGTATGTATTAAAGATATGTAAATTATTCTAAGTATGAAAGACATACAAGAAGCAATAAAGGGAAGACAAGCAATGCAAACATTCAAGAAAGAAGTTGTATTCATGAAAAGGCACATCGGCAACTTAAAGAGTTTACATTGCTTTGAAAGGCGAAACAAAGAACAAGAAAGGAAAAGAAAAACATAAGGCCAAGATTCCTCAACATCATCAGCAAGCTGGGTTTGGATCTCGGAAGACTGCTGGGAGGACATCTCGGCCACCTTCTCGGTCGCAAGCTCAGCATCAATCTCTTGAAGGGTCTGATCAAGGCTCTTGTCGGCGGGAGCCACGTCCAATGATGCCTTCTCAGGGATAGCTTCCTTGGGGACCTCCTCAACCTCCTCATCTTGAGTCAAGTCTAGGACTTGCTCAGTTTGAGGAAGAGACTTGGCTCCAGCAACATCTTTTGACTTCCTCACCAGAACCTCCTCCTCAGATTCAGAGCCGTCATCAAATTGAGTTGGAGTTGGCGGGAATGGAAGAGGAATGGCGTCGACGTTCCAAAGGGGCGAGTCAGCAGGGACTTCCAGCTTTTTTAGAAGAGACATCCAACCAAGGGTGAAACCCTTGTTGCATGCCTGCTTCACTTGTTTTCCATAGTCCGCCGTGACATCGGCCACCCCTTCATTATAGCCCTTCTCGTCGGCAGCCTTGGTTTCGGCCTCTTTGGTGGCCAGAGCGTCTTACAATTCTTTTTGGGCCTGGGCCATTTTCTCCTCGGCGTCCTTCTTCTCGGCCTCAAGCACCTTCTTGATGGCCTCAACAGAATCTGCCTTTTCTTCGGCGCCGTTTTGAGCCTTGATAGCAGCCTCAGCCTGATCCTCCAAAGTCTTCATCTTTGATTGCAGATTTTTGTTAATCTTTTCCAAACTAGAGACCTCTCTCTTCTTCTCGGCCAGCTTCTCCCGATTCTGGAAAGATTGTACTGAGAAAAAATGAGCATGCTGAATGGCTTGAAAGTAAAACAGAAATTATTAGAAAATATTCTAAGTGTGTAAATGAAGAAACAGAAAGGAAAAATTCCCAATGAAGAGACTTACCTGAACAAAGTGCTGGAGCATCAGTGCAAAGTTTTCATACTTGTTCAGCTCGGCGTTCTTGTTGAGATCGCCGGAAAGAAGCAGAGCAGTACTAAGGGCAACGCCGACATTAATGTCGTCGGCACTGTCGCTAGCCATAACTGGTTTATCCTCCAGTGTGATTTTGCAGGCCCAGGGGGCATCATGCCTTGAAGACCCCGAGGTGGTTGTATTGGATGACCTCAGCTTCTTTGATTTTGGGGAATCGGATGGTTGGGCCTCAGCACGCCTCTTCTCGGCAGCAGATTGGGACTTATCGCTGTCAGCCAATTTAGAAATTGGCAAAGTATCCTCAGTATCAATCTGAGTTACCTTCGCCTTTGGTTGAGCCTTCTTTATTCTTTTCGGTTTAACAGGGGGCTGAGATTGTACTGGTGGAGCGTTAATGGATGATGAGATGCTGGCCAAGAGATCTTTGGCAACTGCTTTTTGGCGGCCCATTTCAGTAACAAAAACTATTCGTCGCCGACATTGGCGCTGGGATATCAGGATCAGGTATGGAGCCGAGGTTGACAGCTGCTCAGCAGGATCAGAGGTTGATCCTTGGTCTGTCCGAGATGTGGACGCGCCTTGTGGTATTGTGGCAGAAGGTGGAGAAAGGCTTTTCTTCTTCTTTTTGGAGACATCGGGAAGAGCAGACTTATAAGTGGGGATGGAGTTGAGAAGTAGAGGGGCCTTCCACTTGTGGACTGACAAATTCAGTAGTTTCTTCAAGTCTTTGCTGGGAAAGAAAGACTGGCAGAAACCCTTTGGTGACTGAGGTAGAGCTGCAGGAAAAACAGACATTAGAAACAAGTAAAATATTAAAGACTTTAAAACAAACAAATTAATATGGACATAGGGCTCTTACCATTGCCCTCTACGAAAACTGATCGTGGAAGAGGGAAGAGATGGAGGTCCTCGTCTGGAGCGAATTCCCAGTTCCCTGAGGTAATGAAGTAATCATCTCCAGCTCCCTTGTTGGAGTCTGGGAGGTCGGCTACGATTTTGTATTCTATGGACCTCGGCTTAAGGTAGTAAATATAGCCCGTGTCCTTTTTGAGGCCACACATGGTGTAACAGTATTGAATGTCGGCTAAGGTGATACTAACATTTTCTTGTTTGGCTAAAGCAATTATACCGTTTATGACTCGGTAAGAATTGATGGCAAGCTGCATTGGGTTCAACTTATAGCAGTGAATGATCTCGCGAAAAAGGATGTTGAGTGGAAGCCGAAGTCCGCACTCGATGAAAGCCACAACAGGAAGAGGAATGGAATCAGTAGTGGGCATGATGGAGTCATCATCCCTAGCCAACCTCAGATGGACGTCGGCAGGGATGTCAAACTCACGCCTAAAGTGATCTAATTTGCTCGGAGTATCTACTCTATGTTTTCACATACCCATGATATCGGCTTTCAGAAGGGGTGTTTCTAAAGGGTTTTATGGACCTCGGCTACAGCTAGAAGATGCAAAAAATCTGTGGGGAATAGTTTCAGTTTTTCCTAATAATCGTGGGTTCTACAAGCAAATCCCAAACCCAGATCTATGGAAACGAAGATTGAAGGCGTGAAATCTAGAAAACAGAAAAGAAAGAATGTGCTTCAAAATCAAGAACAAAGATGGACTATCAAGAACATTATAAATACGAAGGGTATGAGGCCAAGAACAATGCAGAAGAGTTGTGAATAGTGTGTGCATTTAAAACATGAGCAAGAGCAAAATCGTGAAATAAACGTACCCAAATACATGATTCATAAATCAAGTGCTTGAGTAAAATAGCAAAGGCAACTATTAATGAAGCAGAATTTCTTGAAAAGCAACAAGAAATAAGAACCAGGAGGAACAGTAGCTTACCAGAAAGAGGGAAGCCGGAATGGGATTTGTCGAAGTCTGACGACGGTTGTAGAGACGGAAGAACGGTGGAAATCACGCCGGAGATGGTAAACGAAGCAAGTTGCAGAACTCAAAAAGCTTGAACAATGGCGGATTTGAGAAAAAGAGCTAGAAAGAGAAAAAGCTAAAGGATTGAACAAAAAGTGAAACGACGAAAAGAGGGAAAAAAGTTTTTGTTCAAACTTGAAACGGCGGCAAACGGAATTAATGCGCCTAAAACAACGTAAGCGTCAGACGGCGCACGCATGCGCGAGACGATTTAGAAGCACATCACAAGCACGATCTAGTAAGGAGAAGGCACGTGGTTATGATAGTTGAGTAATTATGCATGACAACTCATGCGCGTGAAGAAGTTTTTGGAAATCTTGATCTTTAAGAAGACATGTCGGCCTATAGTAATGATCTCGACTGAAGCCGATGTACTGGCAGGAAGTACCGATATAGGTTTCATCTCCTCAGAATGCCGAGGCAATTGTGGGGATATATTTTCTGAAGTACCAACACGTGGCTAAGGTGACGCCGACGTGTCAGCTGAGGTGCCACGTGTCTAGGTCGTGACGCCGAGGTTATCTCGGCAAGGCCGAGATTATCTCCGAAGATATCAGAATCCGAGATAAGTGGATAAGGGACAAGAGTCCTAGAATGATGAAGAACTTTAGTGTGGATAAGGATAACACTCTTAGGGAGTTTATCTTTATCTCTTGGAAAGTCCAGGATAAGCACTGAGTAAGAGTCCATTGAAGCTAGGCTTCTAGTGGGACAAAGATTGAGTTAATTATAAAAGAGAGGCACCCCCATGGGTCTAAGGTACGCAATTTATATTCTGAACAGTGAGTTTAGCACTATTGATTATCTTTGAGAGATATACTGACTTGATCGTCGGAGTGCCCCCGGGTAGACGAACCACCGCCGGAATCTTCTCTTTCTGTTGTAGGTCAGCCAGGTGTCATCTATTCTGCCAGTGCTCTCCAACTGAATACTTAGTTAGGCAGTGTGATCGGAAAATCACTCACACACTATCAATTTTTCCATACTCTCGAGGGTATTAATGAACAACTTTTTTATTGCTTTGTGAATGCTGCGTGGAGCCTTATTTTGTGATCATTTTCATTATATATTTGTAATGAAGAGATTTAATTATATCATCTAATGAGTGTAATGATACTTTAATTTAAAATAATTATAAATTTATATCCATATTTGATATGAAATGGAATGGCGCAGAGTGTGAGTGTGCGCACTATATTCATCCTACCATAAAATGTGTAATTATATAACAAAATTTCTATCAAATATTTCAATTGGTGGTTTGGTAGGGTATGGTTGGATGGAATCGGCATTTTCATTCATTATTTTTTGGACACGGTTTACGATCTGCAATTGACACCCATATTGGCCAGAGCATAAATTTTTAGTATTTTGCCACAACCGTTTACATCCCATCATCATTTATAGGTATGTCAACCTTGCATAACCGGTTTAAAAAAATAAACCAAATTAAAACTTATCTGATTATTTATTTAGTTACCATCATTTATATTTCGGAGTGTTTTGAAAAAATAATTAAAAATTATTTTTTAATTTTTTTTGTGAGAGAGAGAAGTGGATTGACTTTTAATTCACTTTTCAAAATAGTCCTTCATAATATAATTTCTGAAAATATATAATCAAACAACAGTGAATTTTTTTTTACAACATAATGACTCATTTTCATTAGAAGTTTTTCTTGCTTTAGTGAACATTTTTTTTTTGTTTTTTTAATAAAAAGTTAAAAAGGAAAATAAATAAAAAAACTAAAATAGTTAATTTTCAAAAACAATCCTAATATTTAGAAGCCACTTATCATTTTATTTTTTATTTTGTGGAAAAGGAAGAGAGATGGGGACGGGTCAAAGGACGAAATAGACAAGAGGGTAGCTCCACAATTCCACCACTGCTACTAGTCTATTAATTAGGATGAGGTTGGCATGTGATGCATCTATCTTTACCCCTTTACAATCCCACAACTTGAAAACCACTTTGCTGAACTTGATAGATTGGGCCTACTACTCCACACCTTTCATTAGAAAACACACTACACAAAAAGCAAAAGCAAAATAAAAAGCTTCTTCTGAAGAAAAAGGCCTGGTCTTGTAGGGAAGAAAGTTTATATCAAAATAAAGATTTTGAAACCCATATGGAAGAGATGATGATGATGACCACGATGATGATGATGATCAGAAGCAGCTCAGAAAATCCCAGCAATGAGTCCCTTTCCGATGAACCTATCTCCACTTCCACTTTCCCAACCTGGAAGCTGTACGAAAACCCATTTTATTATTCTCAGCAACCCAATTCTCATCATCATCATCATCATCAACTACAACAACAACAACATCCAAACCAAGAACAAGATAGTCATAACAAACAACTTCATCGTCTCAATCTTCCCATTTCAGCACGCAAGATTGCGGCATCTTTCTGGGATCTGACATTTATCAGGCCTGTCATGGAATCCGAGCTCGATATCGCTAGAGCCCAGATCATTGAATTGAAAGCTGACCTCGAATACGAACGCAAGACTCGTAAAAAAATGGAATCTATGAATAAGAGGCTTGCCAGAGAGCTCTCTGAGGATAGAAAGGGAAGAGAGGCATTGGAGCGAGTATGTGAAGAGCTCGCCAAGGAGATTTCATCGCATAAAGCTGAGATCAATAGAATGAAGAAAGATATGGAGGAAGAGAGAAAGATGCTACGAATGGCGGAGGTGATAAGAGAAGAGCGAGTTCAAATGAAGCTCACTGACGCAAAGCTTTTCCTAGAAGAGAAGATTTTAGAATTGGAGGAAACCAAACAGATTCAAAAGCCGGACACAAATAATGGCCGGACAATTGCGACTCATACTAATAGTAATAGTGCTGATAGCTTTTTAGCAGAAGCAATAAGGTCATGTGCTATTGGTGGTGAGAAGTCAAGTAGTTTTAATGTTGAAAACAACATTAATAATGGGATTGCTAATCCTATGTCAATTCAGCGAAAAGCCTCACCAGAACCCCAAAATCCACATATCAAGAGAGGGATCAAAGGGTTTGTTGAATTCCCAAAAGTGGTTCGAGCCATCGGATCTAAAAGTAGGCATTTGGGTACCAAGTTGGAGTGCCAAAAAGCTCAGCTCAGGATACTGCTCAAACAAAAGAATCCCATCCGATCCAGTAATCTTATTATGAGTTAAGTCTTTATTTACTCTGTCTGTGTCTGTCCTCAATTTCGTCACTTTCTTCTCTATTTTGTCTGCTTAAGTTTTCTTTCCTTTTTTCTGTCATATATGTTGAGCTTTCTCTGCAAATTGATCACTACCGAAAGATTTTCTTTTGGGAGATTGGAGTAAATATGTTTTTGAGTTTGTAATTTGTTGAATATGCTTGTAATAAAATACAAGATATCATGTGATTTCTTTAATATTTTGGTTTCTGAAATCAGAAAAGTGCTGTTTTGGATGTGTGAACAAAGATTTACTTTAGATCTGTTTGAGTTTGCGAAGATCATGGATCACCTGCAAATGCTTGACTTTCATTGTGAATGGTTACTGAACCAAACCCAAAAATAAATAAATAAATAAATAAATTACAATGAGTTTAGATAAAATACTGGGAACTCCACAAATTTTGATATAATTACATTATATTTCTCTAAAGGAGGAGTAAATTGTAATTACATCGTTTGAGATTTGCCGTAATTACATCCTGCATCTTTTAATTTCTAATTACATAATAAATGATTTCTTTTATTAAAAAACTATCGAGTCAATTAACAGTTTCCAATTATATCAGAAATAAATTTTAATTAATAATTTACATAATTTTATTATTGTATAAGATAGTAGTTATGAATATTATTTTTTTTTGTTAATTCTATTAAATAAAAAATTCTAGCAAGAGGATATTTATAATTTCCAAAACTCCAGGACAATTCATATTTTGAACAAATTTCAAAGGTGTATTTGTAATTTACTCTTGAAACTTTAATTGATATAACATTTAACTTTTTTTATCAAAAAATCGTTAATCACATGGTTAGAAAAATGATATTATTATCTTTTTTTAAATTATTGTATATTTTACCTTACTTTTATATGTTCACATCATATGTATTAGTTTCAATTCCTTTATTGTTATTAAAAGAGAAATTAATGTAATTATGTCAAAATTTTGAGAGTTGCTTTATTTTTTCAAATCTTAGAGCAGGTTAGTATAATTTACCCCCAAATAGTAATAATAAGTATAGTGGAAAAAATTACAAAAAATAATCCTAGAGTTTGATACTTGTAATAAATCAAACATTAAATTTTTACTACGTGAAGCAAATAAATATAGACCAAATCGCAAATAAATATAGACCAAATCACCTAACATTGTTCTAATCTCTCATATGTCAAAAGGATTTTTCAAGCAAGAATCTCTAAAAAGATGAAAGACAACTCATACAAGAAGAGGTCGGAATTATCCCAGCTTAGGTAATTAGACATTCATACAGTGGGCAAGCATAGAGATACATCACATAAGCACATAGCATAACGCCCAAAAAATATGGAAAACCTAAACTAACCAATATCATATCTCAAAAAAAAGTACATTTCCTATCAAATATGCAGAAGCTTAAACAAATCCCAACTCACATTACAAAAGACATTTCTACTGTTGCGATTCGTTACTGAAGTCCATTGAGTTCTTACAAAATCATGTCACATGCATTAATACATTCATTAATTCTAAAACATGAATCTATAGCATTTCATTAATAAGAAATAAACTTTGAACAATTACAAATTAATGCCCTAAACACTACGGTAGCGTTTGGTAGGCTCATTTGTAACACCCCGAAATAAATACAATAAACCACCCATAAACGATAATTACATGACAATATAAATCAGAGTATAATATCCTTCTATTACATAAGATGCAGCTGTATAAGAGAGGTGACACATACGATATACATTCATACAAACAAACAGAGCCTACAATTTCAAAGGCACAGCTCATTTGTAACACCCCGAAATAAATACAATAAACCACCCATAAACGATAATTACATGACAATATAAATCAGAGTATAATATCCTTCTATTACATAAGATGCAGCTGTATAAGAGAGGTGACACATACGATATACATTCATAAATAGTACATCCTTAATCTACAACATGTGTACCGAAACAGTAAAAAAAAAAAAAAAAAAAACTTAAACAAATAATTGGGTGCCCTAAAGGCTTACATCTTTCCAAGTCAAGGCTTGGGTGCATCAAAAGTGAGTCTTAGCTTAATACAAATAAAGTTCTAGGCCTATACAAAAGTAAATACAAAATAATTTATACACATATCACTAGTACCTAAAAATGATTTTTCCCAAATAGGGTGAGTTAAAGCCCTGTAGAAATAATCAAACACAATATATGAATCTTAACAAAGATATAAGAATTTATGCACATACAATTCCTATATCAAAACGTTTTACATTTTCTTCCAAAAAACAATGCCTTGCTCACTCTATATCACAATTTCCAAAGTCATGCTCTTTACAATAGAAAACAATAGGGAAATTTCAAACTGGTACAACCTTTCACGGATATTTCGTCCATGGGAAACCGTCAAACGACACCCATGTAAATGTAGCCTATACAAGCACTACTATTGTATTTTACAGATATTTCGTTTGTGGGAATTGGCACCCATGTACACGCTCATTTTTCGAGACTTTCACTCTGGACACACAGGCCAACTTAATTTGGTGATACACACATTTTTCCAATATTTACCCATTTTTCTCAAATCATACACATTTGCAATCTATTTCTCAAATCATTTCTAATTCCACAACCATTTTCAATACATCAATTTGAAAACTCCTCTTTTGATTTTAAATCAAAATCCTAGGTTTGTTCAAAATCCTCCAAAATCACAAGATTGTTTTATAAAAACAAATAGCTAAGTTAAAAATCATAAAAGAGTGTAGGGATAGGGAATCCCTACCTCAAAGCTAAGAGACGAGATAAACACCGGTGAAACTCGGATGAAACCAAAACCCAATTCTATTCGGATGAAAATGAAGCTCTAGATAAGCTCTACCTTTTTAACAAAGGGAGTAAGGTGGAGAATTGGGTAGATCTTAGTGTATTTGTAAAAGGAAAATGAGTTTTATAGAGAGTGTGACTCAACTTAGGGTTTTGAAATATTTTGGAGAAAGAGAGAGATGAAAAAGTGATGTAAAATGGCATTTTTACGAACTGATATACGTACAACTCGCTCGAACGTAAGACTTGTCGCTGCGACCAGACACAATAAGTTGTTCCGCTCGAGCGCAAAATATACACTCCCAGTAGTTTTGTAGACAGAGATTGTCGCTCGAGCGAAGAATACAAACTCCTAGTACTTTTGTAGACATGCAAAAGTACTAGAGTTTCATAAAGATCACTCGAGCGCAACAAGTGTCACTTGAGCAAAGGAACAAAAATCTGGGCAATACAAGTTTGAAAAACAAGCCACTAACCTATTCCAAACATAACACAACCCAATAGCCAAATTCAAAGAGGGAAAAGAGGAATAAGACACGAACAATAATACAAAACAATAAAACCCGAATCCAGAACATCAAATAGTCGGGTCTAAACTAGAATCACTATAATCTTCCTATCTTAAGAAATTTCGTCCCCAAAATTACGAATCAACCTTTAAAACCATGGTTGAACCAAGTACAACAATGATAATCAACCAATTTCAATATCATGACCCGACCACCGGTCATTCACTCTCATCAATATAGTAAACAAGTTCTCAATACTAAATATACAATTCACATTTCCAAAACATATACAATGTTTATAATAAATCAACATAGCAAAAGTTTCAATACATGTTCAAACATTGGCAAATTGGTCCGGATATTTCTCATGGACTTCCAAATCACGTTCCCAGGTTCCTTTCTCAACTCCGTGATGTCGCCACAATACTTTTACCAAAGGAATTGTGTAACGACCCCAAAATCCGTATTAGAGATTACCTTTACGGCTTTATGGGTTAATGCATTTTAATTTATTGATATGTGTTCAAATTGAGGAATTATCTGTTGAGCCACGGCTGTAAAATTGAAATTACCGACCTTTAAAGGTTCAGAAATCAGAATTGAGGACTTGGATGTGTTAATGGAAATTTTTAGAACTATTTGGGAAACTTAATTGGAAATTTGTCTGATTCGTTAATGTGCGTTTGGGTGGTTAACTTGGTACTGCAAATTGAAGGCCTTAGAGGCTTCAGAAACCAGAACAGGGGACATATTTATGATTATCATAATTTTTAGAGTCATCTGGAAAGTTTAATTGAAATTTAATTTTTCGCGATTCGTAAGGGCGTGTTTGGCTCTTCCTTGTGTTAAGCTTAAGTATGTGATATATACATATATGGATAGGCCATGTGAGTTGGGGGTTTTATCATTTTGAAGTCAAATAAAATATCTAAGGGTGAGGGAGAGAGAGAACCGTGAAAGAGAGATAGAGAAGGAAAGAGGATCATCCATGGAAGTTTGGAAAATTGAAGAGATTAAAGGGGAAAAACAAGGAATTAAGTTAAGGTATGTGGCTTCAACTATTATCTTTGTAAATAATGCATTTACTACATGAAATCAATGATGGATTTGGGGAAAATTAATATGCAAATGAACAAGTGTGTTGGGTTATGAATGAAATGAGTTAAACTCAAGGAATTGAACCTTGATTTCTTTAAATTTGCTTGAATTGGGTTCAATCTTAAGAATGATTCATGGAATACCAAGTTGTGGTATGAAGATCAACCATGTGTAAGATGTATTTGTATGATTTTGGAGTATATATGATAGAAGCTTGATTATATAGAAGATGAGACTTGAATTTCTATTTTTGAGGCAAAGATTGATTTGTTTAAAATGGAATTGCACTTGATTGATACTAGTTTATCATGTTATGAGATAATTTAACATGTTTTTGAGTGGTTTATGTTAAGAACCAAGTTTAAAAATGGAAAAACCAAGTGTTGGAGAAAAAAGAGCCATTTTCGGACAGCAAACTGCAGAGCCGCACCGTGGCAGCTCTGTTTCCCGCACGTTGCGGGAGGACAGCTTGTCCCAGCCAACTTTGAATAAGCATATGCTTTTTCCTCGGGACTCCATTTTGAGTGATTCTTGACCGCTAAAATTCAGCTCCGGAGTCTAGTTTTCCAATTGGCGCGTGGTTCTCAACGTCCAAATGTCACCTAAATACAGAAATAGTTATGCCCAAATTAGTGACAACTGTTTCACTTTTTGTCAACCAGTTTTGCTACCATTTCTCACCTAAACCATTTCCCATCAAACTTCCCTGTTTTCTGAGACATGGATTATAACTTAATTGAGGAATATGAGCTTTGTACCACCATGGGCTAAAGTTGATTAAAACGATCAAAGAGAATAAGTAAAGGATCGAGTATAAT